AGGTATGAAAGGTGTTGATTGTGGAGCTGAGCAAGAGGAAATCTTTGAGACCCTCAATCCTTTCTCCATTTGTTTTGATGCTGCTTAGTGGCTAAATGGTAAGGATCTATATTTCCTTGATATTGAGATGTAATCCATATTGAAGACTCTAGTTTACAATACATTTTTATTTTCTTCTTCATAAGAATTTGTAAAATGAATAGCTATGGAGAAAGGATACAGCCCTGATCTTTCTTGATTTTAAACCATGCAGTGTCTCCCTTGATCTCTTTGGCTAATAGCCTCTTGACCTAAGAATAGTTCACATGAGCGCAGTTAATTGTTCTGGAATCTGTGTTTTTCTCAACCTTAGCCACAGTTTGTTGCAATCCACACAGTCAGAGTGCCTTTGCATAGACAATAAAACACACATAGAAATCCTTCTCATATTCTCTGCTTTCAGCCAAGATTCATCTGACTTCAGCAATGATATCCCTGGTGTCCTGGCCTCTTCTAAATCCAGCTTAAATTTTTAGCAGTTCTCTGTTGATAAAATTTTCTAATCCTTTTCGAATAATCATAAGCAACATTTTGCATGCATTTGTTTTTTGTGAAAATGATAGTTTCCACATACTATTGGATCACTTTTTTTTTGGATCATTTTTGGGAAGTAGTAACAGATGTTGGAGAAGCGCACTGAACATCCCAAGATGAATGAACGGATATGTCTTGGAGATGGTGCAGCCGAGTGCTCTTTGGAGGCAAGAATGATGAGGCTTTGCCTTACATACCTACGGACATGTTGTTAGAAGGTGCTGTTCCTTGGAGAGGGATATAATGTTGGGAAGTGTGGAGGGTTGGCGAAGGAGAGGAAGATCATCAACCAGGTGTATTGATACGATGACTCTTGTGTGTCAGGAAGTGTGAGGATGGCCCAGGACAGGACGGGGTTCAGATCTTTTGTTCATAGGGTCACTATGAGTCATACTCGAATCGATGGTACCGAACAACAGTGACAACAACGCCACTCATTTCATCAGACACTTGTCTTCCGGATTTCTTGGCACAGCTTACTTAGTGCACACATCCAAGGCTGCATATGTTGGCTGTAATATGTCAATTAGTATTCCATCAATTCTTGAAGCTTTTTTTTTAATCCAGTACCTTCAGTATAACTTGAATTCCTTTCTTCATTACCACTGGTTTTTGATCTTATGCTGCTATCTGAAATGCGTCCAGGTCAGCCAGTTAGTTCTTTATGTTATAGTGACTCTGTACATTCCTTCAATTTTCTTTGGTTGCTTCCTGGATCGGTCAAAATTGTGGAAGTAGCATCCTTCAGTTTTACAACTCAAGGCTTGAATTGTTTTGTTTTGTTTTTTTCAGCATGAGAAATGTCAAACAAATTTTTCCCTTTTTATTTCCTGACATGAAACAACATATGAGAAAGAGCCTATGGTGATGAAAGAAGAAGTTCAGGCTGCTTTGAAGGAAATGGCAAAAAATAAGGCTCCAGGAATGGATAGTATACCAATTGACATATTTCAGTTAACAGATGCTGCCATGGACGTGCTCACCAAGTTGTGCCAAGAAATCTGGAGAACGACCACTTGGCCAACTGACTGGAAGAGATCGATATTTGTTCCTATCCCAAAGAAAG